GGGGGGTATCCTTATATTTCTATTAAATAACACCATATACCTTTCCTGTCATATTCTTAAACACATTATGTTAAAAAACGAAATCAGTGATGCAATAACATGTATCATTTTAATTATCTAATCCTAATAACTTAATTTGTTCCTAAATTAGTACCTACACCTTGATCGTAAATACATATCGATGTTCCTAAACAAATGAATGAATTGGCGATGAAGCTGTAAATTACATTTTATACAAACAAATAAATTATATTATTATATGTAATTAAAAATCAACTTATACTACAAATAAGAAACAGATTATATTGTTATAGTATCAGCTAGTTAAAATGATATATGTTCACATATTTAACAACGTTATTAAAGTCGTCTTTTTTGGTAACTGAAAAACATGGTCAAAAAATACATATATGGTATTATTTGAAAAATAAAGAACGATTCTTGCTTTTTATGAAAAAATTACACTTTTAAAGTTTGATACCATTGAACTTTTGTTTGAAACATTAATCTGTTCGATTGCCGGAATCAGCACAAAAATCGTAATTCATATACCACTCCATATAAAAAAATAATTACACTATTATTTCATCAATATAATGATCACTAGATAATCTAGATTCTTAAAATAATTAATATTTGCATTCAGTCAAATCATTATTTTATTTGAAAATTTGGAAATATTTATATAGTATCTAATTATTATTAAATTAAGATTTGTATTTCTTATGATAATAATATCGAGTTTAATTAAAAGTAATCTAATGATAAATTATTGTTCATGGATAACCATGAGATTATTAAATTTAATTACCATTTTGTGCAAGACAACATAAAACATACTCTAGGAAGTAAGTAGAAATGATATGTAAAATATACGATAGGATATTTACATACATGTCAAAAGTAAAGTTGCACATTTTTTATATTACTCATTTATGATACATTATTTGAAAAAGACTGACAATATTGTATTTTATTTATCTAAATGTGCAAATAAATTGTTTGAAAAGTTCTCATATACATATATAGAAATGTAGCTATTAAAGTTGGATTTCAGATTTAATATGCAATTTGCAATCTTAATCAGATTGTATTTCAAATTAAAATTTAACAAAATAAAATGAAAGCATGTACATTACGTGAAAATATTTGTAACCGTTTACTTAATATAAATTATGTGAATGCACAGACATCACATAAATTTATAATGTACTGTATATCACATCATGTTTTATTACTAACCTATATGCGAGTATATAAATATTTAACGAAATAAAAATGATTTACATTGTGTACTATTATTATTAATAACCAGTATTAAATTGAAAGCTAGAGATTTTATATAGTACATTTTAAATTATTTGTAAGTTCCAATTTCCATTAAAACATATATCAATATACATTAATAAGTAATAAATGCTTTAATCGAAAACGTATTCATACATATGTACCTCTGTGTTAAATGATTTAAATCACTCCTAATAACATGTCACTTTTAAATGATTCTGCTTTTTACTTCAATACATTTACTCTTACTTATACCTAAAACTTTTTTTATAGCTATGTAATATAAGTATATACTAATACAGCTAACAGTGTTAAGAGAGAGTAAGAGAGAGAAAACTTTTATTAGTAATATAAATATAAATAGTTGTATTAAATAACGGTTACATTATTGTAGTCTGCAGTGACCATTAGGACATTTTCAACTAAATTGTAGTTCCATGAAAAATCTATAAAGAAGAAGTTGTTCTTAACACTGGAAATTTGTTTCAGAAAAATGAAATTGGAAATAGACAGTACTTAAAACAATCTTAAAACTGATATATGATAGAATCAAAATCATTTCCCATCGGTGGAACAAAAATAGAATATCTAGCACCATATTTAATATGGTGCTTAAGCATATCCAAAAAGGAAAGAGAAATAAATGCAGTTAAGAAGATACAGTTAAACTTTCAAATTTTAATCAGCCATATTTTTAATATACATACAATATATTATGAGAAAAGAGAACATTCAGATGTTGGCAATTAAGAGAAAATTATCTAATCTATTAATTATCTTAACAAACGTGTAAATATTTTATGAACAATTTGATTAAATTTTTGACTGATTAATTACCTCATATACCAAATCATGCTAAGATTATGAATAACATGATTAAGATACAGTAGAAGTAACTATATTAGCAGTAGTTCAAAAGTATACTGAAAAGACGTTTGAAAGAATTATTTGGAAATTCTATTTGAAAAATCTAGTAATAAAATCTTTTATAGTAACTCGAGATTAGCAAATTATAAATTTTAGTGTTATAACAAATTGTAGCTGCTATTAATAATCAAAATAAGAATTTATCACTCAATAAACAAATGGGTAAGGACTAAGAAATGTTATATTTTATAAAATATATGAAATAGTGTGAGCATAAACTAAAATCGTAAAAGAGAAAAAATATTTTAGTTCAATTAAAAAATCAATATACAATACTTTATAATCTTTAATATATTATAAAATAGATCTATGAATACAAATATAACCTTATTGGGACAATCAGCTCTATTGACGGTTAGTAATTTAGAAATACATACATATGTTATTTCATATATGTGAATAACGGGGGTATTTAAATTTTGTCATACATCCCTAAGACCGTGACACGATTGGTTGCTTAAAAGAGAATGTTGTGTCGTCGGGTGACTTCGGCCGGTATCGGTTCTATCTACGAGCATCTTCGTCCCAGACCCCACTATAATTCTTTGACTCTGTCACAGTCATGGCGCATGGCACGCCGCGCCCCTCCCCAACGGGAGAGAAAGAGCAAGCCGCTGCGGTGCTCTCGTCTCTTGCCTGCCTTGCCAGTCGACGTTCGTAAATGGCGACGTACCGATGTCGAATGTACGTAACGAACTGGTAAATCGTCGTACGTGATGACAGCTCGTCACTGAACATCGGACGGCGATGGGCACACAAAAGCCGGAAGAATGGGCGAATTTGCTGATCACACGTTTCGAGGAACAGGTACATCTCAGCTGTGACTCGAACTACGAATCTGTTTAGCATTCCTTTTTTCTTCTATTCGTCTTCCCTCTTCGTGCACCCTTCCCCCTTCAACACTCCTCTCTTTCTTATCTACCCTCTTCCGGTGCTTTCTCTTATTGCTTCTCACTCTTTTCCTCTATTTACTTTTCACTTTTGTGTTCTTTTTTAATCTCTTCCAGTATGGTGTCCTTATTCTCAGTTTCTTCTTTTTTCTTTTATTTTTCTATTTCTCGCTTCATTAGAAGATTATTCATTTAGAAAAAATTAATATTAGTTTTATTGCTTTTTGACGCTCCTCATTTTCATGAACTCTATCGAAAAAATGGCAGTTAAAATTAGGAGAAATTATTGAATTAACGATTATTAGAAAGACTGGCAACGGTCAATTTAATCGCTCATGTAAATTTGACACGATTTGTGTGTAGCAGTTCCTGGTAACCAAATGCAAGAATCATAATTTTCATTGGTGAGTGAAAAAGTTAAGGCATAGAGTGACACAAATAATATTGAATTGGCAATTTTTACATCAGTAAATTTTTTCTAAATATCATTTTTCAACACTCTGACAATCATCTGCTTCTCCAGAAAAATTCAATTCTTTCCATATTCTGTACGACGTGACACGATGTGACCAAGCAAGGTATGTATTTATGTATAGAACAATTCAATGTTTCTACGGATCAGCGATGGTGAATGGTCATGACCAACAATTGTTTAGGTAGAATTTCGAATGGAATAGTTAAAAATTGTGTTGTTTATGATTTTTATGTGCATGTATTTTCGTATTTGTTCTGTTTCCCTTAATTTTTTCTCCTTTATTAGCGGGGAAAGTATAAAAGATATTTTCTACACAGTATTTAAATATTATTTAATGATAGCGTCTGCTTTAGAAATGTAGCGATTGTACCTCATTCTCCATAGGTATTCTAGGATTTGCTACAAATGTAAAATAGATTTTAAATGACGCAATGACCCTAAATCAATCTCACAGATTTCACGGCAAATAAAGTGACATTTAATATAGAAATTTCAATCGCTATTATTATCCCTATTATTAGAGTAATAATTAATGATTGGTATCGTTATTTTTCTGGATGCATTGTCATTCATTTGTTCGTTGATTCGTTCATTCATGGGAAGATGCTTTCTCGCGGTCTCCTCCCTCTACACGCCGGGGAGTCCACGATTTGACCTTCGCCCCCTCCTCCCTTTCCTCTCCACCCCATTCAGTTAAGATACATATAGGGTGTTCTAAAATTCATCTACTATTTCAATAATTTGTTGACTATTATTTTATTATTATCAAAATAAATAAATTGCAGAACTATGCTATATATATATACTGATTTATTTATTTATTTATTTATCATATATTATATTAAGTATATGTATGCTTGCAA